AAAGGCCCTGCTCTACCACTTCCCTTGGGACTGATGCAGAGAAGATCGGCTGGTGGCTACAGCAGGACTGTGCCTTCCCTTGCCCAGTAAGATGGTCTGAGCTGATGGTGCCCTAGGCTCTGCTGTGGCCACTAACTTAGCACTGCATTGCAGTGCCACAGGAGGTGGCCATCCCCTCGGCAGACCCTGCCCTGTGTTCCCCTGGGAGAGGAGATCTGGAGACCCTGTGTGTGTATGTCAGCCAATTGAGACCATGTTTGTGGAGCAGCAGAGGAAGGGAGTTGTGCTGTGCATGGATCAGGGGAAGCTGAAGAGACAGCTTCTCTCCATGGCTGCAGAATGGTTGATGGGAAGCGGGTGGAGTGGGATGCTCTCTCAGTAGACCCAGGAGATGGGCACCCACTGTGGAGAGCTGCAGGCCTGCTCAAAGGCTTCCTGCAGCAGCTGGAGGCTTTCTTCCACGCCGTTGTTGACCAGTGAGAGGTCAAAGTAGTGTGCATATCTGCTCCGGATGCTCTCTGAATCCTTCTGGAGCTGCTGCAAAGCCTCTGACTGTAAGAAATTGGAGACAGTGCTCAGGAAGCTGGGGAGGAGGGGAATTTCACAGCCCACCCCAACAGGCAAACTCCTTCCCACCACCAAAACAACTCAAGTGGTTGCCAAGTATCAGAGCCTAGAGCATCCCTGCAGCTTGTCTTACAGGTAGGAGCTGTTGTGCGATCTCTGGGAGTGTGGGCATTTTGCTGGGTTTTTACTTAATGCTGAGAGGATCAGGTTACCTGCTAGAGCAAGGCCAGACCTGCTTGGTCTTGTATTCTGAAAATGCTTTGTGGCAGCTCCCTGGGAGAAAAGGTTCACCAAGCAGCCTGCTGCTTGTTACTATGCTATGCAGTGTAGCCAGCTCAAGGCCTAAGGCTGGTTTCAAGGTAAGATCCCTGCATGATGGTCCCTCTCCACTGGCTTCTGACCAGAACACTGGCTGGCAGAGCTGTACCAACCTCCTCCTACTGGTTTTGGCTGGGATAGAGTTTAATTCTTAGTAAAAACAAAGCTACCTGCCCCTGCTGGTGTGGCTTGTCTGCACAGCTCCCCAGCTAGCAAGGGCATCCCAGGAGTGTGTCCCTTTGGGCAGCTGTGCCCTCAACAGCAAATTCCAGACTGATTTCCACATATCTCCCTAATTGTGCTTGAAATGCAAGTGGCTCCCTGCTTCCGTGCCTGGGCAGGGGGGAAATGAGCTTGGGGTGCTGTGTGCTGCAAAGCACCATGTGTTGCCTGGCAGCTCCGGGGAGTGAAGATGAGAGAGCAATAAGCAGTTTGCTTGGGTCACGTGAGCTCTGCTGGGTCATGTTTTGGCTCTGCTGCATCCCTTCTAGTAAGTAGTTCATGGAGCTGTGGCAGCTACCTATATATAGTGTCTGCACTAGTGGGCCCTGCCCACTGCGGCAGGAGTTAATTTGTCTGGAGGCTGTGGTGGGTGATGGGAGCGTGGATGTGGAGGCAGCAGGCTGCCTAACTGCCCTTCCTGCCCTGACACTTGCCCCCCTTAGCCTGCTGCATCTGGCTTTACAATCCTCTGTGGGTTGACATGCTTCTGAATGCCTGTGCAATGCTTGCTCTGAAGGCTGCATAAATACCCTCCCTGCAAACTATCTGTGTTTTAAGCTTTACAAACCCCAAATGAATGGGTTGAGAGAGGTGGCCTCGACTGGCCATGATTCCAGGAGGAGCACAGCTCTGTGGGTTTTCCTGTTGTCCCATTGCTTTCTGTATCCCTGTGGAGTTTAGTCCTCAGGGAAGCTGGTCCAGGCTGCAGAAGGGCAGGGTAGGAGGCAGTGCTGCTCCCTGTGGGGGCTTCCTGGGAAGTGGCAGCACGTGGCTGCCAGCCTTGCAGTGCTTGGTGCTGTGTGAGTTAACTGTGGCATCAGTGCTGTTTTCATCCTAATTTTGGAGGGATGAGCATATTAATGAGGCAAAGAAAAAGGAGCTGCTGTTTTTGTGTCCCATTTGCATAGTTCATGGCAGGATAAATGTCCCTGTTCTGCAGCACTACTGCAGCAGGAGACAGCCCTTTGTGCTGGGCTGTGCATCCCACTACATGTTAGTGCCTGGTTATGCTACAGGGATGATGGTTTTGGGGGGTGTCAATCTGGTATGGCTTCAGGAATCACCAATTCCTGTTTCTCAAGTCTGGGCTGAGGAAGTTGCCCTGTGCTCCTGGACTGCAAAAATCAATGCCAATGGAAGAAGCTGATGTGGAGCAGGGAGAGATCCCTGGGCTGCTGCAAGCCCAGCCAGAGGGGGACTTTGTCTTGGTGCCCTGCCACTCACCTGCTCTGCCTTGTCTGTTGGGGCAATGAAGACTATGAATGGGGAGAGCTCAGCCGTGCGGATGATTTTCAGGGTCTGTGAAGAGAGGGGTGTAGTTACCAGAGTGTGGCCATTCCTTAG